CTGTGTGGCGACTGCTGCTGACTGTGGGGCGACTGTTTGCTGATGACTGTGGGGCGACTGTTTGCTGCTGACTGTGTGGCGACTGTTTGCTGCTGTGTGGCGACTGTTTGCTGCTGTGTGGCGACTGTTTGCTGCTGACTATGTGGCGACTGCTGCTGTGGGGCGACTGTTTGCTGCTGACTGTGGGGCGACTGCTGCTGACTGTGGGGCGACTGCTGCTGACTATGTGGCGACTGCTGCTGCTGTGTGGCGACTGTTTGCTGCTGACTGTGGGGCGACTGTTTGCTGCTGTGTGGCGACTGTTTGCTGCTGACTGTGTGGCGACTGTTTGCTGCTGACTGTGGGGCGACTGTTTGCTGCTGACTGTGGCGCGACTGTTTGCTGCTGACTGTGGTGGCGACTGTTTGCTGCTGACTGTGTGGGCGACTGTTGCTGCTGACTGTGTGCGCGACTGTTTTGCATGGTGGCGATTGTGGACCTGCTGGTGGCGGACTGTGCTGCTGTGTGGCGACTGTTTCTGCTGACTGACTGTGTGTGGGCGACTGTTTGCTGATTCCTGTGTGGCGACTGTTTGCTGCTGACTTGTGGCGACTGTGCTGCTGTGGGGCGACTGTTTTTGCTGCTGGACTGTGGGGCGACTGTTTGCTGCTGATGGGGGCGACTTGTGGTGGCGACTGTTTGCTGCTGACTGTGGGGCGACTGTTTGCTGCTGACTGTGGGGCGACTGTTGGCTGCTGTGTGGCGACGTTTGCTGCTGTGTGGCGACTGTTTGCTGCTGACTGTGGGGCGAATGTTTGCTGCTGACTGTGGGGCGACTGTTTGCTGCTGACTGTGGGGCGACTGTTTGCTGCTGACTGTAGGGCGACTGTTTGCTGCTGACTGTGGGGCGACTGTTTGCTGCTGACTGTGGGGCGACTGTTTGCTGCTGACTGTGGGGCGACTGTTTGCTGCTGACTGTGGGGCGACTGTTTGCTGCTGACTGTGTGGCGACTGTTTGCTGCTGACTGTGGGGCGACTGTTTGCTGCTGACTGTGGAGCGACTGTTTGCTGCTGACTGTGGGGCGACTGTTTGCTGCTGACTGTGGGGCCACTGTTTGCTGCTGACTGTGGGGCCACTGTTTACTACTGACTGTGGGGCGACTGCTGCTGACTGTGGGGCGACTGTTTGCTGCTGACTGTGGAGCGACTGTTTGCTGCTGACTGTGTGGCGACTGTTTGCTGCTGACTGTGGAGCGCCTGTTTGCTGCTGACTGTGGGGCGACTGTTTGCTGCTGACTGTGGAGCGACTGTTTGCTGCTGACTGCGGAGCGACTGTTTACTGCTGTGTGGCGACTGTTTGCTGCTGACTGTGGAGTGCCTGTTTGCTGCTGACTGTGGGGCGACTGTTTGCTGCTGACTGTGGAGCGCCTGTTTGCTGCTGACTGTGGGACGACTGCTGCTGACTGTGGGGCGACTGTTTGCTGCTGACTGTGGGGCGACTGTTTGCTGCTGACTGTGAGGAGACTGCTGCTGACTGTGTGGCGACTGTTTGCTGCTGACTGTGGGGCCACTGTTTGCTGCTGACTGTGGGGCCACTGTTTGCTGCTGACTGTGGGGCGACTGTTTGCTGCTGACTGTGGGGCGACTGTTTGCTGCTGACTGTGGAGCGACTGTTTTCTGCTGACTGTGGAGCGACTGTTTGCTGCTGACTGTGTGGCGACTGTTTGCTGCTGACTGTGTGGCGACTGTTTGCTGCTGACTGTGGAGCGCCTGTTTGCTGCTGACTGTGGAGCGCCTGTTTGCTGCTGACTGTGGGGCGACTGTTTGCTGCTGACTGTGGGGCGACTGTTTGCTGCTGACTGTGGGGCGACTGTTTGCTGTTGTGGGGCGACTGTTTGCTGCTGACTGTGGGGCGACTCTTTGCTGCTGACTGTGGAGCGACTGTTTGCTACTGACTGTGGGACGACTGTTTGCTGCTGACTGTGGAGCGACTGTTTGCTGCTGACTGTGGAGCGACTGTTTGCCGCTGATTGTGGAGCGACTGTTTGCTGCTGACTGTGGGGCGACTGCTTGCTGCTGACTGTGGAGCGACTGTTTGCTGCTGACTGCGGAGCGACTGTTTGCTGCTGACTGTGGGGCCACTGTTTGCTGCTGACTGTGGGGCCACTGTTTGCTACTGACTGTGGGGCGACTGCTGCTGACTGTGGGGCGACTGTTTGCTGCTGACTGTGGGGCCACTGTTTGCTGCTGACTGTGGGGCCACTGTTTGCTACTGACTGTGGGGCGACTGCTGCTGACTGTGGGGCGACTGTTTGCTGCTGACTGTGGAACGACTGTTTGCTGCCGACTGCGGAGCGACTGTTTGCTGTTGACTGTGTGGCGACTGTTTGCTGCTGACTGTGGAGCGCCTGTTTGCTGCTGACTGTGGGGCGACTGTTTGCTGCTGACTGTGGAGCGACTGTTTGCTGCTGACTGTGGAGCGACTGCTGCTGACTGTGGGGCGACTGTTTGCTGCTGACTGTGGGACGACTGTTTGCTGCTGACTGTGGAGCGACTATTTGCTGCTGACTGTGGAGCGACTGTTTGCTGCTGACTGTGGGGCGACTGTTTGCTGCTGACTGTGGGGCGACTGTTTGCTGCTGACTGTGGAGCGACTGTTTGCTGCTGACTGTGGAGCAACTGTTTGCTGCTGACTGTGGAGCGACTGTTTGCTGCTGACTGTGGAGCGACTGTTTGCTGCTGACTGTGGAGCGACTGTTTGCTGCTGACTGTGGAGCGACTGTTTGCTGCTGACTGTGGAGCGACTGTTTGCTGCTGACTGTGGAGCGACTGTTTGCTGCTGACTGTGGGGCGACTGCTGCTGACTGTGGGACGACTGTTTGCTGCTGACTGTGGGGCTACTGTTTGCTGCTGACTGTGGGGCTACTGTTTGCTGCTGACTGTGGGGCGACTGTTTGCTGCTGACTGTGGAGCGACTGTTTGCTGCTGACTGTGGGGCGACTGCTGCTGACTGTGGAGCGACTGTTTGCTGCTGACTGTGGGACGACTGTTTGCTGCTGACTGTGGGGCGACTGTTTGCTGCTGACTGTGGGGCGACTGTTTGCTGCTGACTGTGGGGCGACTGTTTGCTGCTGACTGTGAGGCTACTGTTTGCTGCTGACTGTGGGGCTACTGTTTACTGGTGACTGTCGGCGACTGTTTGCTGCTGACTGCGGGGCGACTGCTACTGTGGGGCGGCTGTTTGCTGCTGACTGTGGGGGGGCTGTTTGCTGCCAACTGTGGGGTAAGTGTTTGCTGCTGTGGGGAATAAGATTGCTGCCGACAGTGGGAAAACACTGTACGAGGCTTCGACTTCCTAGCTTTCATTGTATTTTTTTGTAAAATTACCGAGATGCCTGGAGGGACCTCGGAGAGCCTCTTTTTTTTTAACACTGGTAATTTAATGAGGTATTTAAATGATCCTGGTTACTGTAACTTGGTTTTGATAAGTTTTTATTGTTTTAGTTCATACTTTTAGTTTTTATTAATTATTCTTCATTGCTGCGTAATTCACCTGGTCAAAGTGATCTTCTGATCTAATAAAAAAAAACTTTTTCTCAATGCTTTTCCAAACTTTCCTGTGTTTTATTTACGTTGTTCTGAAAGTCCAAATGGGTTTCATTGCTTTCAGAGGTTTTAATGGATTTCAGTGACTGTCAGTTGTTTGGTTATCCATGCTCTTCAATGGTTTTTTAATGCTCTTCAGTGGTTTTTGATGCTTTCGAAGGTTTTTTTGATGTTTTTTCAATGGTTTTTGGTGTTTTTTTAATGGTTTTTGTTTTTTCAATGGTTTTTTGCGCTTTTTCAATGATTTTTGACGCTTTTCAATGGTTTTTGACGCTTTTCAATGGTTTTTGACGCTTTTCAATGATTTTTGACGCTTTTCAATGATTTTTGACGCTTTTCAATGGTTTTTGACGCTTTTCAATGGTTTTTGACGCTTTTCAATGGTTTTTATGCTTTTCAATGATTTATGCTTTTTCAATGGTTTTTGACGCTTTTCAATGGTTTTTGACGCTTTTTCAATGGTTTTTGACGCTTTTCAATGGTTTTTGACGCTTTTTCAATGGTTTTTGACGCTTTTCAATGGTTTTTGACGCTTTTCAATGGTTTTTATGCTTTTCAATGATTTATGCTTTTTCAATGGTTTTTGACGCTTTTCAATGGTTTTTGACGCTTTTTCAATGGTTTTTGACGCTTTTTCAATGGTTTTTGACGCTTTTCAATGGTTTTTGACGCTTTTTCAATGGTTTTTGACGCTTTTTCAATGGTTTTTGACCCTTTCAATGGTTTTTGACGCTTTTCAATGGTTTTTATGCTTTTCAATTATTTATGCTTTTTCAATGGTTTTTGACGCTTTTCAATGGTTTCTGACGCTTTTTCAATGGTTTTTGACGCTTTTCAATGGTTTTTGACGCTTTTTCAATGGTTTTTTACGCTTTTCATGGTTTTTGATGCCTTTCAATAGTTTTTGATGTTTTTCAATGGTTTTTAATGCTTTTCAGGCTTAATTCAGGGAACTGGAGCACAGATCCAATTCCCTAGATCAAGAGCCCCTCACCAGCATCAAGGAACCTTCCTTGAGGGATCATTAAATGGAGAACCAACTGGATGAGCTCGGCTGCTAATGGACAAAATCTCAATGCAAATAGTTTGTAATATCTGAAATCCATTACACAGGGATCCATTATAATCAAGGTTTTCCTGTACATTCATAATAAAAAAAAATATTTGGCTTGTTCTTTTTTTCAAATATGTTTATCAGGAATTATTTTATTACCATTATTATAAGCAAAAGTGCTAAACCCACAAGGGTCACACAGCACTGCATCATACCATAAAAGGATCAACCTTGTTCAATGCTATTTTTTGCTGTTTTGTGTACTAACAGTAGACTGTCTACAGTATTTGTCTACAGAATCATGTTATGTTTGTCATGTCTCTTCAACTACCGGCAATAATTTGTATCTGCTTGTTTGCAGCAGTATGTTTTCGCTGCTGCGTCTGCTGGTGGTAATGCTGGCAGTGATGCTGGCGGTGGTGAACCCTGGAAGAGCAGACCTGGAAGTGTTACCAGGTGCTGACACTGTTGTCATCCCTGGAACAACACTACCATATCTTCTTATCCAGGTGAGCGAGTTCCTCTTATCTAAGACAAAAATTACAGATACGTTCTGTGCTTTTTGTCCCCATGAGCTTAAACCTACAAATTACACATTTTTACCAAAACTTGTCAGCCCCCCATTATTATTATAATCAAGGGGGAAGCGCTAAACCCGGAGGATTATACAGCGCCTGGGGGGGGGGATGTGGAAGGCATTCAGGCTTAATTCGGGGAACTGGAGCACAGATCCAATTCCCTAAATCAAGAGCCCCTCACCAACATCAAGGAACCTTCCTTGAGGGGTCTGCCCCCCAAATAAAACCAATAATAACATTGCTTCAAGACAGGTTCCCCTTAGCACCTTTTTCCAGCCAGTGTCAGTAGCTGCCTCTTGAAATTACACCTTGAAAACAACGCACCCAGAATAAATCATTGGGAAGTGCTGAACTTGTAGGGGTAAATAGTGTTTTGGGACTGAAAGAGGCGGAGAAAAGGTTATTCACTTTTGATCTGAAGAAAGGGAGAGTAACTGCAAATCTATGGATGAGGAATAATAATATTCATCTAGAAATGCTAAACTTTTGAGTCCTACAGTACCTGGGGAATGAAAGGCGGTAGGTTTTGATCCGAGAAAGAGGAGGGAGCTCAAATTCCTTGGATGAAGTCCTTCCCTAGTATAAAAATATCCTCCTTGGAAAAAAAAAGCATCTAAAACAGTGTGTTAACTTCCACAGGATCTAAATTATGCAATAAAAAGCTAGTTTTGTCAATTATTACGTTTAGAAAGAGATCGCTAAAGCAGTATTGCTTATAGAGCACTTGGGAGGCATTGTTTTGATCTGAGGAACAGGAGAGCAGGTTTAATTCCTTGGATCAAGACCCCCCTTATTGACATTAAGCTTCCAGCAAGTATCAACATTTACTTAATCTCATCAAACACTAAATTCTTAATGACTATTATTACTTTTATTAATAATACAAGGCAAAGTTTTACCCTGAGCAAGAGTTTGTGCCTCTAACATAATTGTAATTGCTATTTAATTTATATTAGCATTGTACACATTTTAGTGGACTTCAAAATTTATCAAAACAATCAGTGGAAAATAAAACGGCTTTAAAACAATTATTATTTATTTTTACAGCATGATGACAATTATCCAGATGGAGAAACATGGCACTCAGCCTTCAACACAAGTTCTGCTGGCCAGGAATTACAAGAGTCAACATTCAGTGGTGGCAATACTGATGGTAGCACCACTTACAATACCCTAAAAATCACTACTACAACTGAAGAAGAACTGCCAATACCCGAGCCACTGATCCACCACTGGCACAGAGGTCACGACTTGCTGCCACAGGGGTATATTAATCGACACCATGTAGTTAGCCCTAGGAATAATGGTGTAAGTTATTTTCCTAATTTAAGGGGAATCCCTCGGCTTTCATTACCATACAATCCACCAAATGTTGGGCAACGCCAGATTAATCGTTTTCCAAACCAAGACTATACCAACCATGCTTCTAGTTACATTCAAAATCAAAAGGTAAATCAGCAAAGCTTAACCCCAATAGCACCAGCAATGAACACAAGAGTAACAAATAGTCTTGCCCAAAACCCATTTTCTCCCTTACACAACAACCCACACCCCATTCCTAACACAGAACCCTTCCCCAAACCTCCAAATATACACCAACAATTAGGACGGCAAGATTTGCAACTAGACAAGTTTAGAGTACTTTCTAGTAATCAGCATCAGCCTTACAAGAGTGACCCAGGCACTGAATTATCCATTCATGACCTGACTAGTATATTCTACAAAGAAAACAAAACTCCTTTACATTCTTCAGTTTTTCATGCTTTGCCTAATCACAATACAGATGGGATAAACAATAGAGTTAATAAAGCAGTAAATAATATACATACTAAGAACTACAGGACTCCAATTTCTTCAGAAACTCCACTATCTCTTAATAGCAACAACAGGAGACAGAGTGAGAGCACTTATGCAAGAACACCTCTAAAACCATACTATCCAGCAATAACCAGAGACAAAACACTTTATAGTAGCATTCAGAGAAGTCATTTGCATTACCCTCCAAGTGTGTCCTATGGGGAGCCATACTTCAGCCGTGGCCCTCTAATTGCTCGTCAACATGACCATGAACACTATTTTAACAAGATCACACATTATAAACCCAATATTTATAACAGAAACAATCAGCTCAGCATGCAAATAGACAAGAACATTTACCAAGCAAGACCAAACACGAGACAATTTTCCCAAAGTCAAAACTTCAATGATCTGTTACATCAAAATATGAACCATAATTCTTTGAAGAGCATAGCAAGGCTTAATTATGCCAAGTTGCCCAGTGGTTACGAATCACCTACATCAACATTTGAAGTGTTGGTCAATAAGGAACAAGAGAGCATTCATAATCATACATTAAGCACACGCAGTTTAGAAAAAACTGAGAGGCACAATTTTCCCACTCGATTCAATGGCCACAGTGGCCCTTTTGTCATGAACTGATATCCATGGTTGATGCATGCATCTACCTATCTGAAAATATTGAGAGATTTTTAATTTGATGGAACCCTCATATATACACAATACATGCAGCATTCAGTAATGCTAATAAACGTAATTTAGGAAGCAGTGTTAGAAGCGGAGTCTTGAATCCACACATGCACACAAATAGAGATTGAACAATGGAATAAGTGTAACAAGAACTGGAATGTCTTTTCTTTAAAATTATACAATGAAGTTGGGACACCAAAACCATGACTGTTCCTGTAACGATGGAAGATTCATTATTTCAGCATTCTACAATGTGTGTACAAAGATGGGTGCATGCAAAAAGCCCATTAGTATGCAGAGCATTGTATAGCTACAAATTGGTAATAAAAAATAGGTACACCATAATCTCTCACAAAAAGGGGGCTGCAAAATAAAGGGGACAGGCAGGAAGAAGTAAACTATACACCAATCTTCCTAATGAGTGAAACACAAAAACTGTTAGAGACAATGTTGAATAATTGAAAGCACTAAATTTCTAGTCTAATATGGAAGGTCATGCCTATAAATCTGTGAAGACTTGATAAATGAACAGAGGTCAAACAGAGATAGGGACGATAGGTGAAGTGTATATACTTATACTGTAAGAAAACTTTTGATATGGGTCCACAAATAGTTTAAAAAAGATAAAGCTAAGCTCAAAATAATTTTCTTCGATGTGCAAATGTATGGAAACCTCAGCTAGTAAAAGTAGTAACATGAAAGTCTATAGGTGTGACCCAGACTGGTGGTGCCTAAATAGTGGGAAATGAGTTATGAAGAGGGAATGTTAGACCTTGTCATTGGAATGAAGAACAAGAGGAGATATGATCACAACACACAGGATAGGTAAGGATAGGATACAGGTGCTCCTCAACTCGACTTAATGATGGTTTGACTTACAATATTTTGACTTTGTGATGGTGCAAAAGCAATTACTTTGGAGATGAAACTTAAGATTATTACCCAGCATGAAGGTGGCAAGTTCATAACTTTTTTTTTTCCAACAAGTCAGTCGTCTCCCACCGAGGCAGGGTGACCCAAAAAAGAAAGAAAATCCCCAAAAAGAAAATACTTTCATCATCATTCAACACTTTCACCACACTTACACATTATCACTGCTTTTGCAGAGGTGCTCAGAATACAACAGCTTAGAAGCATATACGTATAAAGACACACAACATATCCCTCCAAACTGCCAATATCCCAAACCACTCCTTGCATTCATTTACTTTTTAATACCGTTATCGAGTTAAAGTAATTATTTATTCTGTGACAGTAGTTATTTATCACATATTGGACTTAGGATACAAGTCGAGGAGCACCTGTATTTATTTGGAATGAAAAATAAGACATGGTTGAAAAGATTACCAAACAAGTCATATGTATATGAACAAACCTATTTTGTGAAGCAAAAGCTAAGAAATATTACACAAACACATGAAACTGGAAAGCACTCAGTACCCCATCACTCTATCAATGAACATAATGAGAATACAAAACTTTGTCCCACATCTGAGGTATAATATGGAATGTAGGAAATTAGTAGGTAAAACTGCTAACTGATGGCAAAGAAAAGACAAATTGAACAAACTTTTGTTGGGAGAACATCTCAGCCTTTTAGCACTTTGTGACCCATACAGGCTGTGCACATTTTGTGAATATAATAATAATATTGGGACATCTCCATGGGGACATGGAAAAGAATCCTTCCTCCATAAGCCATGCATATCATAAGAGGTGAATATAATGCTTGAAGGGGTTAGTAACCCCTTCTGTATAAATTAACTATAAAAAGAAAAACTTTCATTTTTCTTTTTAGATGACCCTGCCTTGGTGGGATAAGGCTGATGCATTGAAAACAAAAAAAAAATTGGGACAATGTTTTGCTATACACAATGAAATGTCTCGATAAAAGTTTGTTATAAAAACTGACCGTTCATTGCATTTCACAGATGCTATGCGTGTAAAGTTTTATTTCACTGCATTAACACTGAAATGAAACTTTACATGAATTCTTGTCAAGAATAAACTACTTGAATGCTTAATTCACAAAGCATTGCACGGTTCTTTAAATAACTAACTGAAGATAGTGGAATACAGCAATAACTGTATAGCTCACAACATGACACACGAAATTGCAGTGCCATGATTGCAAACAAACCATACCACGGGCAGGGTTAGAATCCGTGATCAGTGTGTCTCAAAACTCAACAGTCTGGAGTTTTGAGACTCTCTGATCGCGGGTTCTAACCCAGCCCATGGTATGGTTTGTATAGCTCACTGTTTGTGCAGTGCTATGGACAAAATCTGAAGTAAAAAAAAAAATATTTTAACCCTTTGACTGTCGCAACCCCCAATCCTGAGGTGTCTCCTGGTGTCGCAAAATTTCAAAAAAAAAAAAAATTATTTTTTCTTATGAAATGATAGAGAATCTTTTCCCGATTGTAATGACACCAAAAAAACGAAATTTGATGGAAAACTGACGGAATTATGCTATCGCGAAGTTAGCGACCTCGGCGCTGTTTACAAATCGGCGATTTCGCCCACTTTGAGCCCTATTTTCAGCTAATTCCATTAATCCAGTCGCCCAAACTCATAGCTATTTCTTTAGAACTCCATTTTTTCTATCGATTGAGTACACGAAACTGCCCATTTACCGATTTAAACTACCTAATAATGTGGTCAGAAATTTGCAATTTGGCCAATTCACAAAAACTAAAAAATATGACAATTTGAAAATAAGGTCCAGAATGAACAATGCAGACATTCCTGGCTCTAAAATAACATTTTCTTTGCTCATCAGTCATGTCTCCAGGTCCCTCTAATATTACTCTTGCTTTCTATTTTGAATTTTTATTCAAACAAAGAATAGAAGACTTACTCTTATGCAGACTACTGCAATACTGTAATAATTGTATAAATAACATCAACCCATTAGTGACTGCATATTAGAATGGCTAGTTGGACATTTATTGGACAATGGCATCATTTGTTTACTTTTGAACATTGGCAAAAATCAAACATTTCCCCAACTTTGACTCCATTTCTAGGTTCTTTTTATAGTAAAATCAATCAAAATCACCTCTGTTTCTATAATATGTTTTCCATTCTATCAAATGAGACCAAGAAAATGAGAATACAACCATAAATGCTATACGAAAATAGACCACAAAGTCAGCATTTTAATTAAAAAAAACGGTCGGAGTTTTTTTTTTTCTCATTATGCACTGCGTGCTCCAGGATTTTTTTATATGGTGCACACTGACCACACAGACCCATTCTCTCACATGTGGGCCTACCAGCTTTCTCCTGCTTGATTTGAAGCCGCTAGAATTTATGAGTATATATACGTCAAACACGGTACCTCGTAAGACGTATATATACGGCCCGACAGTCAAAGGGTTAAAAGTATATACAGTCATCTCTTATAAAGGACCTCTATTTTGTGAAATTTTTCATAAATGCAACTGAAAAATTAATCCAAACTTTAACAGCAACTACCACAAAGGTGGTATTCAATTTTGTATATCCCTTTTCAATTACATTTAAGAAAAACTGCATTATATAGAAGGAATTTATTAGAAAGCTGCAATATGTATGTGTTAAAATGTAAGTGATAATTAGAAATACTTATGTTACAGTAATAATAATAATTTAATAAAATGAGAATTGCACTAATAGATTAATGACAGTAATTCACTACTTATGGTACAGGTACTGAGTAGCCCAAAAAAAAAAAAAAATATGAATTATAGGTAGACATTAAATCGAATTCTTTTAATTTTTCTTGTGAAGTGAGATATGTTTACATAAATTAACATGGTATATATTATTATGAGGGAGCACTAAACCTGTAGTGATTAACATGGTATGCAAATTTTTACTTTACACTGGCAAAATAAATTTATCACTAACCTAATTCTGCATAATTTTTTTTTCAACTGGCTGTCTCCCACTGAGGTAAGGTAACCTGAAAAAGAAATACTCTCACCATCATTCACACTATCACTGTCTTGACAGACAGATACCACAGTTCAAATGCCCCTCCAAACTGCAGTATCCCCACCCCTTCTAAAGAGTGCAGGCACTGTACTTCCCATCTCCTGGACTCAAGTCTGGCTAACCAGTTTTCCTGAATACCTTCACAAAATGTTACCTTGCTAACACTCCACAGCTCATCAGATCTCAAAAACCGTTTGACATCACTCGCTCTTATCTAACACGCTTACATATTCCTGCTTGATGTCTAAGCCACTCACACACAAAACCTCCTTTATCCCTTCCCTCCAACCTTTTCTACAGCAGCCCCTATATTACTATTTTTAATACCAATTAGTACAGTAGATTAATTTTGTGATCTTCAGACTGATTTTTGAGAATTATAGCAAAATAAACGTACACTTCACAAATAACCCACACTTAAGAGGAAACTCGTGACAGCTCAGTCCGTACTGCACTGAAACAGTATTGTAAGTTATGTCTCTAAGTCTGGCTTGTTTGTGGATTGTTCCAACCACTGTACTGTAACTCATTCTTCAAACATACACTCGACTATTCTGAAAAAAACAGTTATTGCTTTACAAGTTGTTCTCGGGTTACGACTAAAATTTACAATATGTACAGTATATTACAATCAACATCATTATTATTTTTTATTTTTATTATCACACCGGCCGATTCCCACCAAGGCAGGGTGGCCCGAAAAAGAAAAACTTTCACCATCATTCACTCCATCACTGTCTTGCCAGAAGGGTGCTTTACACTACAGTTTTTAAACTGCAACATTAACACCCCTCCTTCAGAGTGCAGGCACTGTACTTCCCATCTCCAGGACTCAAGTCCGGCCTGCCGGTTTCCCTGAATCCCTTCATAAATGTTACTTTGCTCACACTCCAACAGCACGTCAAGTATTAAAAACCATTTGTCTCCATTCACTCCTATCAAACACGCTCACGCATGCCTGCTGGAAGTCCAAGCCCCTCGCACACAAAACCTCCTTTACCCCTCCCTCCAACCCTTCCTAGGCCGACCCTACCCCGCCTTCCTTCCACTACAGACTGATACACTCTTGAAGTCATTCTGTTTCGCTCCATTCTCTCTACATGTCCGAACCACCTCAACAACCCTTCCTCAGCCCTCTGGACAACAGTTTTGGTAATCCCGCACCTCCTCCTAACTTCCAAACTACGAATTCTCTGCATTATATTCACACCACACATTGCCCTCAGACATGACATCTCCACTGCCTCCAGCCTTCTCCTCGCTGCAACATTCATCACCCACGCTTCACACCCATATAAGAGCGTTGGTAAAACTATACTCTCATACATTCCCCTCTTTGCCTCCAAGGACAAAGTTCTTTGTCTCCACAGACTCCTAAGTGCACCACTCACTCTTTTTCCCTCATCAATTCTATGATTCACCTCATCTTTCATAGACCCATCCGCTGACACGTCCACTCCCAAATATCTGAATACGTTCACCTCCTCCATACTCTCTCCCTCCAATCTGATATTCAATCTTTCATCACCTAATCTTTTTGTTATCCTCATAACCTTACTCTTTCCTGTATTCACCTTTAATTTTCTTCTTTTGCACACCCTACCAAATTCATCCACCAATCTCTGCAACTTCTCTTCAGAATCTCCCAAGAGCACAGTGTCATCAGCAAAGAGCAGCTGTGACAACTCCCACTTTGTGTGTGATTCTTTATCTTTTAACTCCACGCCTCTTGCCAAGACCCTCGCATTTACTTCTCTTACAACCCCATCTATAAATATATTAAACAACCACGGTGACATCACACATCCTTGTCTAAGGCCTACTTTTACTGGGAAAAAATTTCCCTCTTTCCTACATACTCTAACTTGAGCCTCACTATCCTCGTAAAAACTCTTCACTGCTTTCAGTAACCTACCTCCTACACCATACACTTGCAACATCTGCCACATTGCCCCCTATCCACCCTGTCATACGCCTTTTCCAAATCCATAAATGCCACAAAGACCTCTTTAGCCTTATCTAAATACTGTTCACTTATATGTTTCACTGTAAACACCTGGTCCACACACCCCCTACCTTTCCTAAAGCCTCCTTGTTCATCTGCTATCCTATTCTCCGTCTTACTCTTAATTCTTTCAATTATAACTCTACCATACACTTTACCAGGTACACTCAACAGACTTATCCCCCTATAATTTTTGCACTCTCTTTTATCCCCTTTGCCTTTATACAAAGGAACTATGCATGCTCTCTGCCAATCCCTAGGTACCTTACCCTCTTCCATACATTTATTAAATAATTGCACCAACCACTCCAAAACTATATCCCCACCTGCTTTTAACATTTCTATCTTTATCCCATCAATCCCGGCTGCCCTACCCCTTTCATTTTACCTACTGCCTCACGAACTTCCCCCACACTCACAACTGGCTCTTCCTCACTCCTACAAGATGTTATTCCTCCTTGCCCTATACACGAAATCACAGCTTCCCTATCTTCATCAACATTTAACAATTCCTCAAAATATTCCTTCCATCTTCCCAATACCTCTAACTCTCCATTTAATAACTCTCCTCTCCTATTTTTAACTGACAAATCCATTTGTTCTCTAGGCTTTCTTAACTTGTTAATCTCACTCCAAAACTTTTTTTATTTTCAACAAAATTTGTTGATAACATCTCACCCACTCTCTCATTTGCTCTCTTTTTACATTGCTTCACCACTCTCTTAACTTCTCTCTTTTTCTCCATATACTCTTCCCTCCTTGCATCACTTCTACTTTGTAAAAACTTCTCATATGCTAACTTTTTCTCCCTTACTACTCTCTTTACATCATCATTCCACCAATCGCTCCTCTTCCCTCCTGCACCCACTTTCCTGTAACCACAAACTTCTGCTGAACACTCTAACACTACATTTTTAAACCTACCCCATACCTCTTCGACCCCATTGCCTATGCTCTCATTAGCCCATCTATCCTCCAATAACATCATTATTGTATTATTATAATCGTGAAATGTACTCAACCTGTATTACTTTTAACAGAAAAGTTTATATCTCATTGTATTGTATACTATGTTAAACTATTGTATTAAAATTAATACTCAAATAAAAAATCTATCACTAATATATATCTAAGCTCCTTAAAAAAATAAATTAATACTCACCAACTGACTAGTGTGGCTGAAGAAAAAGTTAATGGAAAATATAACATAAGGAATTCAGTTCAGTTACCAATGTTTCTGCATGGCACATTGGTACAACTGTGTTGAAAAACCATGAATGCTGGGGCATGCTCCTATCAGGGCTGGATTAAGACATGGGGTTTAGGTGCTGCAGCCCAAGGGTCTCTGCCATCTGGAGGGCCTCCAGAGGTTAAGTGAAATGTGTTGACAGTTACTGATGTAAGTTTATAATCATACTGTTATTACATCACATATATGATGAACTGTTGACTGCTGTGATTAATTTTTCTTCTTTTGAAAATACCACTGGGGCCTCAGGGTTCCTGTAGCCATGGGACCAACAAAATCTTAATCCAGCTATGGCTCCAATAACCAAACATTGTTACTGCACCTGGAAATGGATGCAGATAAATCTCGTGCCCCATGATACTTTAAACAAATTGTAAGGTACTGAAATAAAATAAATACTGGAAAATCTGTACACTATTATTTTTACCTTGCCAGCAAACTCCGACCAGGTAAGATGGCCCCCCAAAAAATGAAAAGACCTTCGTTCAATAGGTGTCTTGGCAGACATACCATAAATAACCCTCTAGCATCCCCTACCTAACCTTCAAAGTGCAGGGAACATACTTCTTATTTCCAGGTATAACCATTATTATTAATCATGAGGAAGCATTAAACCTGCACAGGTCCTACAGTGTCTGGTGAAGGGGAAGCAACTGGGTTTAATAAAAGGTAGCTCCAGTTCACCAGATCAAGAGTCCTTCATCCCTTTCCTCTTGAAAGGACAATAAAGAGGATATCACCTGAAGATTCACCCTCCCAAGGAACTAAAATACCACATTATATATTCAAAAAATGTGCACTAATTCTGTATCGGCCACCGAGCATTATGCAAAATCCTATGTAGGTTAGGTAAAATACCAACAAGTTATTTTATACTGCGTAAAGTCTAGCAAGGCTTAAGTTCTATTAGTTTTAGTGTAAAAAAAAAAAAATCACATTACCAAAAATACATTAGCTATATTTCAGTTTTCCTTGGGACAAATCTTCAGGTGACTTAGTCATTGTAAAATCTGAGGTCACTGCAAGATGCTGGTATCCCTTATTACATCTATTGCTTACAATTGGCACAAGTGTTGTGGCTCTTGTCTTCTTAAACAGTTTCTTAACTTGTAGAAAAAAGGTGAGCTCTTGCCAAATACAAGATGATATTTTTTTTACCTCAATAGCCATCTCCCACTAAGGTAGGGTGACCCAAAACTTTGGTTTCTATTTATAAATGCCCTTGAAGCTAGCCAATACCAAGCACTTAAGAGATTATTATATCAAAATGGCTTAATAGTTCATTTATACTGTACACTATTCACCTTTCTAGACTAAGTCTCACTGGTCTCTCTTTGCATGTTTGCTTGTAATGGATGGACTCTTAGTACTTCAGCTGTGCCCCCCTCAAACCAAGCAGTAATGTGTGCAGAATCAACAGCAAAGTAGTAGAGAAGGGAGGAGCACTTTTGTCTTCGATATGCTGAGCGTGGATCCTCACTGAGCACACTACTTATAGCACTTGTCAATTCGGCACCATCTTCGAGGAACTCGAGCCTGCAGGAAGAGCTTACATTGAGTATTAACAGGAATACCATTTCTGATAATCTACTAAGAGACCTAATAGGGAAATGGATCTGTGCTCCAGTTCCCTGAATTAAGCCTGAATACATTCCACATCCCTCCCACAGGTGCTATATAATCCTATGGGTTTAGCACTTCCCCCTTGATTATAATAATACTAATAGATCTTAAATACAAATTGTATTATGATATTCACAAAAAAACACTAGCCCAGTAGGAGTTATATGTAGCTAAAATGCAACATAAAGTCTATATAACATGCTGTATCCCAAAAACTTTGGCATGTTTGCACATGAAAACTTCAATGTTTAATTTTTTCTATAGTTGTTCTGCAAAATAGAATGAATTTAGTTGTGAAATTCTTACCGATAACACTCTTTTTCCGCACATTTGGAAAAAAGCTTCACTTGGGCCTCAGCAATTGGATTAAAAATCACTTGAAGTGATGATGATGGAGGGGCTTCAAGCCATGATGCTGTAGTCACCTCTTCCACTCTTCCCACATCACCTGATGGGTTAAGTGGCTTACAAGTCACCTGATGATTCTGGGCCTTAATGTGCTTTTTATTGCCCAATGTGGAATGTGACTTCTTTCCTTTGTTTATGCGAGACGTGCTGTTTTCTTTGAATCGACAAGACGCGAAATCTCCTTTATCACACGCTATTAAATCTTTCCCACAATTTGTACTGGAGAAATTTAAGTTGCCTGAATCATTGCACTCATCTCTGCCTGATTCTTCACTAGGTTGCAAGACTCTTCCATCACACTGCTTCAGTGAAAGATGGTTAACAATTTTTGTGTCAGACATTGTTTCATTTACTTTCTTGAGAGAAAGTTTTTCCTTCAAAAATTCTCTTTGGCTCTTTTTGCCACCAGGATTTTCTTCTGTACACACCAGCTTAGAGTTTGGAGCATTCTGTTTCATTTTATGTTTATTATTAGGCTGTGAACCTCCTGCAATAGTCACACTACAGTAGGAATTCTCTTTAACAATAATTTCCGTCACATTTTCTGAATTTTTACCCTGAAAGAGTCCACAATCCCTGGTTTCATTTCTTCTTTCTTGTGCAGCAAAGTTTTCCGAAGCAGATGAGAGAGGCTGTGGAGCATCATATTGAGGAATATAAGGCTTTATGTCCAACACTGGTGTTCCATCCAATATATCTAATCCAGACAGGTACAGGCAGTCACCTGAAACAATGAAAAAGTGTGTTAAGAATACACTAAACTGTTCCCTCTCCTAAATATTTTATACTCTTTAATTTCTCTTCATACTCATTAACCTGTTCCATAGGAAAATGAATAGTGGAGACACAAGCATTTGTTTTTATTTCAAGACATCCTCAGGGACACACAAATGCAGAGGGGGAGAATACAGCAGGACCCTCGAATCCACAGGTTTGGTATCCGCAGTTTCATCTATCCACGGTTTACCGTGGCCCAAAAATAATCCTTAATTTTGCTTAATAATGGCCTCAGAGCAAAAGTAGTGGAAGTTCTTCAAAACCTAAGAGAAGCCGTAAAGTGCTTCCCATCAGTAATAATTTTTCACTTATTGTGCGTAGATTATAATAGGTACGTATGTCAACGAAAAGCAACTTACATATAGAGTTCGCTATTATCTGCAGTTTCGATATCTGCAGCAGGTCCTTGGAATGTATCCCCCATGGATACGAGAGTCTTACTGTACTCTCCTCGTTAAATTTTGAACCTAATACTAGAGACAACGTTATTTAAGTCAGTCAGGAAATGTGCTAGATTCCTGTCTATTCAACACAACAAAGGATGTCATCTACAATCCTAAGCCACATTAGATCAAAAGTTCAAATTTGTAACAGTAATCTGGTTTAAAACATATTATAAATATGTGACAAACTAGAAGAGAGAGAAATACTCAAAGCCATGCAATAACAAAAGAAAGCATTACCAAGGATGCAAAATTAAATTTTATGAAAACTGTCTGGTTCAAAGGGCTAAGTTGGCTAGTTCATCTTAAAAGGAATAAAGTAAATAGTGAACTGATATTGTAACTAATCACAGTATGTACTCTGCACCTTCAGTTTAACCGAGAGTATAGAGTTATAAATGTTGAAGGCATATTACCGACAAGAGCAGTCAGAATCTTATTTAGCCACTTTGGCAACTTGTAAACACAGATCCTGCTAAACATTTTTTTTTTTCAACAAATCAGCTATATCCCACTGAGGCAGGGTGACCTAAAAAAGAATATAGTTTTTTCTTTTTAAATTCAGTAATCTATTCTGAAGAAGGGATTCTAGCCCATTGTTCCCAGCATTTTTGTTGCCTCTTATGACAAGCATGGCTTATGGAGGAAGAATTCTTTTCCACGTCCCCATGGAGAAAAAATAGGTGTGATGGTCAGGTTGCGTCATCAATCACCACAGACAGTTGGGTCAGCTGTTCAAGTCAACCTGGGGTACACCTGCTGAACAAATAGACCATAAAATATTATCTTAATCTATTTTAACAAACCCGCATATATTTTTTATATATTTCTTAAAGTTTTAAATTGGTTAAATGATCCAAAATTAATCTTAAATATTAAAATGGCACAATACCTTGGACTCTTTCCAATCGGGCCAATGTCAGACCTAGAGGATTGGGTCTATGAGGAGATCGAGTAGCGAACACACCTACTCGTTCTCCATTGAGCCGTGGAGGTGCTACTTTTGTCTTGCTGTGACCCATACCTTTATCTTCATTTTGATCAAAAACAAAGAAGATCCTACAGGGGAAAAAAATGGCAACATGTACTTACACAGCAATGTAAATACAGGTTATTTAAAAGAAGGAAAAAAGAGTTGGTGTAAGGAGTTAAATAAAGATGGTGAGAGTTCAGACACAAAAATTTGGTGCTAGTGTAGTCAATAGCAGTCTGAAAGATTTGAAAAGTGAAGCAATTGAATGGCTGCTGAGGCCACAGCAGCTACCTCAGAATCAGGATAATTTATGGTGAATCATAGATGGTGGTTACATACTGCAACAAATTTTTAATGTTGACAAAACTGGGATTTGCTAGAAGCAGATGGCATCAACAGTATTCATATCTGATAATGAGAAGATGGCTCCAGAATTAAAGACAGTCAGGGGTTGTTATATGCTACTACTGGGAGATATTGAAGTGGGAGACTATGAGCTTAAGCCTATACTAGTACACCACTCTGAAATATGAAGGGCTATGAATGGCTTCAATCAACAGTCTCCCTGAAGTGTACTATGTGACCACACAAGTATTACTTCCATATAAATTCCCTGTTCTCCCCAACAACACAAAGTTACATTCCAGGAAGGGCAAGGTCTGAATCCACAGCTAGTGAGTCATAAAACTCCAGGCCAGTGCCTAAACCACTGGGCCAGTTGCCGACAATAATATTCAACCAACTATGTATATTTCTATACATCATAAGGAGGTTACATCAGTGGAAGTCAAAACTATGCCTCATAAGCCAAGGGCCTTACCACACATGGGAGTACTCATGTAATCCTTCAAGTGCATGCTGGGGATTATTGAACACACTCTTGTCCACCTTCATAATACCACGGCTCAGACTACTCACACTCCCCTGCCGTGGAGTTCCATTTTTGGTCCGAAACCAAGATATGATGTGCCCTGTTGATAAACAAGTTCCAATAAATATCCTATACACATTTCCTTAACAAGCAATTTAATCCTAGCAGTAAGAGGTATTTTTAATTGCAGCTTCTTGGTATTATAAATACAAATACAAGTTCATTTCAACATGATACTTTGATTTTACAGAAATGGATGACACCTGAGTGCATGTTGAAAGCCCATAGTTATGTAGAGCATAACCATGGGCTTGTATTTCTACAAGTATTTCTCCATGTACAGTACTTGTATTTCTACAAGTACATGATACAACTTATAGAGACCATAGCTGACATCAATGACATACTACTATATAGAAAGTCCCTTGTTATGCAGAGCATTTCGAGTAAATTAGGTCAGTTTTATCCCCAGAATGCGACCAACACCAGTCAACTAGCACCCTAGTACCTACTTTACTGTCAGGTGAACATGGACAATGATATTATACACAATAATATATAATAATGGTATTACACACAATAATGATATAATAATGACATTATACACAATACGTACAGAAGATTCTCAACATATTTGTAAGTCGAGGATTTAGTGTATTAGAATACTGTTTTATACATTTTTTATATCACATCAGTATAATACACATATATGTACACCTACCATCCAACTTACGACCTGCTTGACATATGATCACTCAACTTACGACCGTGTGTTTTATGCCAAATTTCTGGGAAATAAACAACTGTTTGTGTTGTACACAGTGTTTATCCTAAACCTTACAGTATAAAATACAGTACTAACAGCATAAAAAGTAAAGTAAAAAATGAAATACCAAAATAAAACAATAAAATAAAGCCATTACAAAAATGTGATGTTGATATTCAGTAGTAAGGTTCAACTTACATCCATTTCAACTTACGACCAGTTGGTCGGAACCAAGCTCAGTCGTAAGTCGGATGGTACCTGTATTTGTAATACTGTAATTAATACTGAATCTAGTAAAATTTTGGTTACTCTGGGCTATAACTTACCTATTGGCTTCCAGCCACTTAAAAGATCTAATTTAGTGTCATCTCCAGAATTAGGCTTGCATGAAGATCCTTGCAGAAAGTCACCGTTCAGACAATGGCCGTGTGCCAGCAGCTTCTCCAGATGCGATACATCTTTCCGATGTTGTGCCTGTAAGCCCTGCAGCCTTTTCCTGAAATTAACGAGTTTCTACGTAACATAATAGACCTGAAAATGACAAAGTACAGTGGACCCCCGCATAACGATTACCTCCGAATGTGACCAATTATGTAAGTGTATTTATGTAAGTGCGTTTGTACGTGTATGTTTGGCGGTCTGAAATGGACTAATCTACTTCACAATATTTCTTATGGGAACAAATTCGGTCAGTACTGGCACCTGAACATACTACTGGAGTGAAAAAATATCGTTAACCGGGGGTCCACTGTACTGTAAAAAACAATGCAATATTTGTAGAGATTTTTTAAAAAGAATTTTAAGTCTCGTATTTTTACAAGAACTTGTAGGATACTTGTACCGGCAATACTCTATAAGAAAACCTTATTGATATCAGCCTAAAGCCATTGGCTACAACATTATTTATTATTATTATTATTATTATATTCATGTGGAGGGCACTAAACCCCTTAGTGTTATATAGCACCTGGCTGAATGGCAAGCATTCAAGTTCAATCCAAGGAAGGGGAGCATAGGAGCATCAAGGAACCTCCCTTGAAGGGACTAGCAACAATAACCTGGCTGATCAGGCAATCAAAGATGAATATTAATCTCTTGCCAGACTGCTAGGATAAAAAACTTTGAAACTGATTACATGAATGTCAAACTAGTTATTTTTTTACAGTACAAAATAATTTAGTTTACATATAATAATGCATTGGTAAACACAAAAGATAGCTACTAGTATGCAATGCATTTTGGGCAAGTTTATTTAATTAAAAGTACACAAGTGCAACTAATGCGACATTTTATTGTGGCGACGTTTTGCCACAAAAAAATGTCATATTAGTTGCACTTGTGACCTTTTACTTAACATATTGTTGGTAATTCTACCAGTATTAATACAATAAATTTATTTAGGCACAGATTCACATAAGTACAATTATCATATACAGTAACACATGCAGTAATTGCAAACAAGCAATACAATATGCAAAACAACCACAGGGAGAGTTGAATGATAGGCCTTTCGTGTTGCAATTAACACATCATCAGGAGCTTGCAATGCTGAAGAAATGAGGAGGAAGTCCAAGTAGATTTGTTCAGAGGAACATTTTTGTTCGAAGTAAGAACATCCCCCTGAATGAATCTAGGTGTCTCGTGGCCTGGTAGGCAACACTCTCACCTCACACACTGAGTGTCCATGGTTCAATCCCTGGCACGGGTGGAAACATTGAGCACGTTTCCTTACACTTGTTGTTCCTGTTTACCTAGCAGTAAGTAGGGATCTGAGTGTTAGTGGACTGATGTGGGTGGCATCCTGGGGGACAAGACTGAAGGACCACAATGGAAATAAGATAGACAGTCCTCGATGATGCACTGACTTTCTTGGGTTATCCTAAGTAGCTAACCCTCCAGGTTTAAAAATCCCAACAAAATTTTATGTAACGAATCTACACTGACGTCCTACTCATTTCTATATTGCAAGCTCCTGATAATGTGTTGATCGAAACACGAAAGGCCTAGACCTATCAACTCCCGCTCTGGCTGTTTTACACAATTAGGTGAGTACAGTAACATGTGTAAATTACCCAGGATAACCCCCCCCCAAAAAAAAAATCAAAGCGACTTATTTCCATTAGGGTCGTTCCTTATTTTAGACATGAAGATTCTCAGTTTGAAACACTGGAGCTGGAAGTAAGTTTATTCAGCTATACACAAATAGTTACATAGATTACACATACATATTATTATAATGGGGAAGCGCTAAACCCGTAGGATTATACAGCGCCTGTGGTGGTGGGGAATGGAAGGCATTCAGGCTTAATTCAGGGAACTAGAGCACAGATCCAATTCCCTAGATCAAGAGCTCCTCACCAGCATTACACATACATAACAATATATATGTAGAGAACCTAAGATAACCCAAAAAAGTCAAAGTGACTTATTTCCATTGGTGCCCAAGTGTGTCACCTTATCTCGGAGTATAAAAGGTAAAAAAAGCACCTCACCTAAGATTATTAAGCTCATTCCTAGCTTGTGTGAGCTGCCTGCAGAGCTCCACTGTGTTAGACATCATTGTGGTGACCGTGTGATGGTTGGGAGTCAAGGTTGTACCAGGTAGAGGAGCCCTCACGTTACTCTTATCCAGCCTTTATACAGCCACTCAGTTACTAACTTTAATTAGTCACAGGTACACATAGGTACAATTATCATACATGGTCTAAAGTACCTAGGATAATACTCTTGCCCAAAAAAAGTCAAGAGTGACTTATTTCCATTGGGGTCGTTGTATTTTCATTGGGGTCCTTGCATTTCCAATGGGATCCTTGTATTACTATTTGGGTTTCTTATATTTCTATTGGGATCCTTGTATTACCATTGAGATCCTTGTATTGCTATTGGGGTCCTTGTATTACTATTGGGGGTCCTTGTATTTCCATTGGGATCCTTAGGGTCCTTGTATTTCCATTGGGGTCCTTGTATTTCCATTGGGATCCTTAGGGTCCTTGTATTTCCATTGGATCTTTAGGGTCCTTGTAATTCCACTGGGATCCTTAGGGTCCTTGTATCTCCATTGGGATCCTTTGGGTCTTTGTATTACTATTGGGGTCCTTGTATTTCCATTGGGATCCTTAGGGCCCTTAGTAATTCCATTGAGGTCCTTGTATTTCCATTGGGATCCTTAGGGCCCTAGTAATTCCATTGGGGTCCTTGTATTTCCATTGGGATCCTTAGGGTTCTTAGTATTTCCATTGGGGTCCTTGTATTTCTATTGGGATCCTTAGGGTCCTTAGTAATTCCATTGAGGTCCTTGTATTTCCATTGGGATCCTTAGGGTCCTTAGTAATTTCATTGGGGTCCTTGTATTTCCATTGGGATCCTTAGGGTCCTTAGTATTTCCATTGAGGTCCTTGAATTTCCATTGGGATCCTTAGGGCCCTTAGTAATTTCATTGGGGTCCTTGTATTTCTATTGGGATCCTTAGGGTCCTTAGTATTTCCATTGAGGTCCTTGTATTTCCATTGGGATCCTTAGCATCTGTGGAAAATACTGTATATATTTTCCGGAAATACGGTAATTTATAGGTAAATAGATGCCCTATATTGTATTTTTAAAAGAGGTATGTTACCGAAAAAAAGAAGAGACTCGCCATCTTGGTTTTGAATTCTGTACAAACGTTGGTGAATGGGGAAGAATTTTTCGTGCTCTAGAGGTTAAAATTGTGTTGACACCTCTCAAATAGGAGGCGAAATTGGTGGATATGCATTCCTGCATAACTTGAGATATCAGACGACTGGACAAGACAGCTCCAGGAACCTCAGATAAGCTCTCTAGATTTGTGTGTAATTCTGGCCAGCATTATTTTCATAAATTTAGTTAGAGTGAGGTTTTTTTTAGTATGATACACATTAATCTCCAGTCAAATTGGTGAGTGATATTAAGATATATTTTCCTTCTGTTATGTAATTGTGTATATATATAACTATTTATTATTTTTAATATACAGTCCACAAATTTATATATTTACCAGTATTCCTGGTGTATGTATATTTCATTTAATTAATAGGTCCAGAGCAACTTGTGGTTATGACAGTGGTAGGTATCGAAGGGGGACATTTTTTGCGACCTAGGTGTCCCAAATTCCTACTTGTCTATGTAACATTGATAAATAATAATTATCTTTGTTATCATTTACTGTTATGTACATAATTAGTTACATTCAGATAAATGCAATTTTCCACTGCATCCTTAGTAATTCCATTGGGGTCCTTGTATTTCCATTGGGATCCTTAGGGTCCTTGTATTTCCATGAGACTTAGGCCTTGTATTTCCATTGGATCCTTAGGGTCCTTGTATTTCCATTGGGATCCTTAGGTCCTTGTATTTCCATTTGGGATCCTTAGGTCCTTGTATTTCCATTGGGGTCCTTAGGTCCTTGTATTTCCATTGGGATCCTTAGGGTCCTTGTATTCCATTGGGGTCCTTAGGGACCTTGTATTTCCATTGGGATTTTCCTTAGGGATCCTATTTTTATTTCCATTGGGATCCTTAGGGTCCTTGTATTTCCATTGGGATCCTTAGGGTCCTTGTATTTCCATTGGGATCCTTAGGGTCCTTGTATTTCCATTGGGATCCTTAGGGTCCTTTTTATTTCCATTGGGATCCTTAGGGTCCTTGTATTTCCATTGGGATCCTTAGGGGCCTTGTATTTCCATTGGATCCTTAGGGTCCTTGTATTTCCATTGGGATCCTTAGGTCCTTGTATTTCCATTGGGATCCTTAGGGTCCTTGTATTTTCCATTGGGATCCTTAGGGTCCTTGTATTTCCATTGGGATCCTTAGGGTCCTTGTATTTCCATTGGATCCTTAGGGTCCTTGATTTCCATTGGATCCTTAGGGTCCTTGTAATTTCCATTGGATCCTTAGGGTCCTTGTATTTCCATTGGGACCTTAGGGTCCTTGTATTTCCATTGGGATCCTTAGGGTCCTTGTATTTCCATTGGGATCCTTAGGGTCCTTGTATTTCCATTGGGATCCTTAGGGTCCTTGTATTTCCATTGGATCCTTAGGGTCCTTGTATTTCCATTGGGATCCTTAGGGTCCTTGTATTTCCATTGGATCCTTAGGGTCCTTGTATTTCCATTGGGATCCTTAGGGTCCTTGTATTTCCATTGGGATCCTTAGGGTCCTTGTATTTCCATTGGGATCCTTAGGGTCCTTGTATTTCCATTGGGATCCTTAGGGTCCTTGTATTTCCATTGGGATCCTTAGGGTCCTTGTATTTCCATTGGGATCCTAGGGTCCTTGTATTTCCATTGGGATCCTTAGGGTCCTTGTATTTCCATTGGGATCCTTAGGGTCCTTGTATTTTCCATTGGATCCTTAGGTCCTTGTATTTCCATTGGATCCTTAGGGTCCTTGTATTTCCATTGGGATCCTTAGGGTCCTTGTATTTCCATTGGGATCCTTAGGGTCCTTGTATTTCCATTGGGATCCTTAGGGTCCTTGTATTTCCATTGGGATCCTTAGGGTCCTTAGTAATTCCATTGGGATCCTTAGGGTCCTTGTATTTCCATTGGGATCCTTAGGGTCCTTGTAATTTCCCCTTAGGATCCTTAGGGCCTTGTATTTCCATTGGGATCCTTAGGGTCCTTGTATTCCCATTAGGATCCTTAGGGTTCTTAGTAATTCCATTGGGATCCTTAGGGTCCTTGTATTTCCATTGGGATCCTTAGGGTCCTTGTATTCCCATTAGGATCCTTAGGGTCCTTGTATTTCCATTGGGATCCTTAGGGTCCTTGTATTCCCATTAGGATCCTTAGGGTCCTTAGTAATTCCACTGGGATCCTTAGGGTCCTTGTATTTCCATTGGGATCCTTAGGGTCCTTGTATTCCCATTAGGATCCTTAGGGTCCTTGTATTTCCATTGGGATCCTTAGGGTCCTTGTATTCCCATTAGGATCCTTAGGGTCCTTGTATTTCCATTGGGATCCTTAGGGTCCTTAGTAATTCCATTGGGTTCTTTTTCATCTTCGTTTATTCTGTACAACTTCAAGATTATTATTCTTATCTTGTATAGATTTAAGTAGTTATTATTTATTAGGATTAGTCTGCCCGAAATGCCCCGCCATGATAGTGGGTATCCTTATACTCATTATTATTACTATTATTATTATTATTATGGGGAGCGCTAAACCCATAGGATTATACAGCGCATGTGGGGGAGGAATGGAAGGTATTCAGGCTTAATTCAGGGAACTGGAGCACAGATCCAATTCCCTAGATCAAGAGCCCCTCACCAGCGTCAAGGAACCTCCCTTGAGGGACCTTGTACGTGTTAGTTTAGTTTAATATGTTTATTATGCACCCCATACCCATCCTGTGGGCGGTAGTCAAAAGATTACAGAGGTACATAATTGGTCCAGGGACTGGGCCTCAAAGTTTTGATAGCTGAGCAAGTTACAGAGGTAATGAATTCACAATTTACAAAGGTAATGAACTCACAATTTACAAAGGTAATGAACTCCAGGTAGGTCTAGTCACAATCATGACAGGTTACAAAGGTATTTACAGATTACAGAGGTACACAATGGGTCCAGGGACCGGGCTCCAAAGTTTTGATGGCTGAACTAGGTACAAGGTAATGAACTCACAACTTGTACGTGGCAAACCAAAATTGCAATTTCACATTCTAACCTTTACAAAGAAATAAATCTTGGGGTATTGTTCCTGTTTAAGTTATTTCGATTATCTTAAGTTTATTTAGGTACAGATGCACATAAATACAATTACCCTACATAGTGTAAATTACCTAGGATAACCTAACAAAGTCACATTAAGATAAGATTTTCTTCGGATTTTTAATCCCGGAGGGTTAGTCACCCAGGATAACCCATGAGAGTGCGTCATCGAGGACAGTCTAACTTATTTCCATTGTGGTCTTCAATCTTGTCCCCCAGGATGCCACCCACACCAGTCCACTAACACCCAAGTACCTATTTGTTGCTGGGTGAACAGGACAATAGGTGTAAGGAAATACATCGAAATGTTTCCACCCCACCGGGAATCGAACCCGGGCCCTCCGTGTGTGAAGCGAGAGCTTTAGCCACCAGGTCACCGGGGCACCTCGACAAATATCGAGGTTTACCTGGAGAGGGTTTCGGGGGTCAACGCCCCCGCGGCCCGGTCTGAGACCAGGCCTCATAGTGGATCAGGGTCTGATCAACCAGGCTGTTACTGCTGGCCGCACGCAAGCTGACGTACGAACCACAGCCCTGTTGGTCAGGTACTGACTTAAGGTGCCTGTCCAGTGCCTTCTAGAAGACACCCAGGGGTCTATTGGTAATCCCCCTTATGTATGCTGGGAGGCAATTGAACAGTCTTGGGCCCCAGACACTTATTGTGTTGTCTCTCAGTGTACTCGTGGCGCCCCTGTTTTTCATCGGGGGAATGTTGCATCTCCTGCCGTCTTTTGCTTTCATATGGAGTGATTTTCCTTTGCAGGTTTGGTACCAATCCCTCCAGGACCTTCTAAGTGTATATTGTCATGTATCTCTCTCGCCTGCGTTCGAGGGAATACAGATCAAGGACCTTCAACCGTTCCCAGTATTTTTAGGTCCCTTTAAATCGCACTTGTGTATGCCGTGAAAGTTCTTTGT